ATTATAATTTATTAATTTACATAATTGCATAGGTCACTTTGGAGCATTGTTTTATCCCAAATATACTAACAGTAATTGATTACAAAATATTTAAAACATGCTATAAATCATATTTAAATCAAACATTTTGAAATCTACTTCATTTGGGAATTAAACCCTAAATAAGAAACACTGATACATTAGTAATAATGTTAAAGATGTGCTGAATGAAAAAATAATGTATATGTTATATCCATTATGGGTGGCACTCTTGTTGCATTGCAGCACTGGGGCCCTTTGTTCAATTCCTTAGGTGCTACAGTATCAGCATGGAGTTCTCATGTTCACGTGGGTTTCCTCCTAGAGCTCCAGGTTCCTCCCACAGTCCAAAGATACGGTACATTGGTAGGTTAGTTGGCTTCTGAGAAAATCGGCCCTGATGTGTGTGTCTGTGTGTGCCCTGCAGTTGTGTCCATCGCGGTTCCGCTCGGGTTCGTGCCCTCCGCCACCGCCACAGTGGACTGGCACTTCCAGGATGTATGCTGCCTTGCTCCCATTGCTTGCCAGGATACCCTGCAGCTCCTGCACAACCCTGAATTAGATGAAGGGTTTAGATAATAGATGAATGGATGCTCATTATGACATGTGGAAGGTGAGAGTTGAGAGGAGGCAACGCCACCCATCTTTCTCACCTGTCTTTTAGTATCGTAGTGGTACTGTACATTAAACCCGTCAAGGCCTCTTCAATGTCCTCAATGACGAACTGTCAGAAAAATAACTTAAGTCTTAGCATTTTAATAATCCAATGGCCCTTTGAGTTTCAAGTTATTTGGACTATTTCAAGTTGTGCCCTCTGGGTCTGGCCTCTGTGTTGCGTTTAAAGCAAAGGAGTGGGTGGACAGAGTTTTTTCTGGAGTGTTGAACCTCAGCACTCCCTATAGTCTTCTTTGTTTCAGGCTAGAAATTAGTTCTTTTAATCCATCAGTCTATGACATACACTCCATTTCATACCTAGTATCATTTTGATTGTCCCTCTAAGGACACCTAACAGTGTTGCAATATCTTTCCATTTGTTGATCAAAAATGAGCACAATATTCTGGATAAGGTCACACTGGCTAGGGCACTATAGAATTTAGCACCGCTCCAAAACTGAAATCATTCTCTCCCCAGGCTGCTGGGATATATTATATTATGTATCAGCAAAACCATCTAGATTGTAATGTTTTGTTTCAACTAGTTGGCTTAATTTTATTTAAATTTGAAGTGCTATTTCAGTGCTATAAGCTGAAGTGGTCTTATATTAATATTTTTTTAGCTTAGAGTCAGGGGAAAATGGCAACTTCAAATCATCATTGACATTTAATTTTATTAATATTTTATTAAAAAAATATTAAAAGTTTGCCTGCTGTCTGATTATTCATCCTTTAAGATCAAGCTCATCATTTTGCTTTGAAAGAAATATATCTGCATAAAAGTAGGGCACAAATACAATGCACCCTGTAACTAATATCACATGGAGAAGAAAAAAAATCTACCTACTGTTTAGTACTTGGACAGGTAGAGATGGTACTATTTTTTGCTGCTGATTAAAGAAAATGACAGCTCTTACTCTAAACGAAAAGCAGATAAAAGGTTGATATGATGTAATGACACGGTTCAAGTTCTTTGTTATTGTGATCTTTAACTGTAAAATTCCTGATACCTCATCAAAACCATTCTCTTGCTCATCTTTTGTTATCTGATAAGATCACCTGCCAGTCATCTGATGCCTGGGGCTGTGCCGTCAGAGAAGTCCAAATAATTGATGGGTGCTGGTTTACACCTAAAACATTTGCAAAAATAATTGATCAAGCTAAAGTCCTTTGCTTTTCTTAAAACCGAGTAACAAATCCAACACAAATGATCTGATGTATCAGTCAAATTGCAGAAGGATTTTTTAACGAGTAAAAGTTTTTATCCTAGGTATCATTTTGTTGTTTACTTAATACTTAACATTTTCATAAAACATTAAGACATTAGAGGATAAAGTATGCTGGAGAACATGACAGCAAAGTATTAGGCATTCATCAAGCCAAGATATTATTGATCTATAAAAAGGAAGCAAGGCATCCAAATTTGTAATGTAGATTTTGTGAAACAAAACATCAGATGATGTTATCTAAAAATTATTTTTATTTTAATGACAGAAAATTGAAATTGAAATAGAATTTCCCATTATTGCAGTTAATGATTAATCTGATTAATTAATGTTTTAATATGTTTAATGATCATGATCACAGTTCCAAGAGCAGTTACATTTTCCGAAACAAATATTTTTCTATCCTTACCCAATGTCATCAGCTTGGTTCATACTTTTTCTTTCCCCAGTATATGCCCATACTGTAAATCTGATAACTGAAAGAAACATACAGTACTTACTTAAAACTTACTGTACTTTTCTGTTTTTCACATCTGTTTTGTAAATACTGTTAACATTGAATTAATTAATCTACTGTACACTTCTTTTTATGTCCTCCGAATCAATCAGATTATAAATAGATTTTTACATGAATTACTCATAAAAATGTGGTCTGATCTTCAACTAAGTCACAGTAATAGACAAACATGCATTCAATATTGACAAGAAGAAGTACAATTGTTGTGTGTTTTTAGTTTAAGCAGATTGTGTTTGTCTATTATTGTGACTTAGTTGAAGATCAGACCACATTTTTATGAGTAATTCATGCAGAAAGCCAGGTAATTCCAAAGGGTTCACAAGCTTTTTCTTGCAACTGTATAAATAGGATTGTACAAACTTGAATGAAGAAACTGTATTCATTGCAGAAAAGTGGAATATGTCGCAAACAAGGTTTACTTTCGAAATTTGTGATCCATCACTTCTGCTGAAATGGAATTGAAGTAACAAAAAGCCTTATGTTTGACATGCTAAGAGCATTTAACTTGTTTTATTAACGGCTATATAGTTGTTTTCTTTGCTTTACAGAAACTATGTGCTATACTGCAGGTCACAGACTGTAGTAACTTTGTAATTTAATGTTCCTTCGTGCCTTTATACTCCTGTAAATTGACACCTTTCATTGTACTTTTTAGCTGGAAAGAAACCACTCAAATCGATGGGATAAAAGTGGAATATTAGTCTTATATTTCTGCCTATTGATTATAGATTTATTGGGCATTTGGCTGTAGGGTGTTAACCCTTTCGTGTACAGGTCTGAGGTCTTACATACTGTATGTAACTTTAATCTTTTTGACATTTTAAATGTGCTTTCTTCTTTAATAAATAATAATCATATGTATTTTAACTAAATTATAATGTATATCTACATCCAGTGCAAAAATAGTGGTGCCACTGCTAATATTATTTGAATATTACGTACAATAACCACAGCCAATAAAACAAGTACTATTTCTTGATACCAGTATTACCAACATTTTGCTTACAATACTTAATTTCACATACTCACTTAATCCTAAAAAAGGATCTATGGTTTCTTTAAAAAATACAAAATATTGTACTGTCTGGACTGGCAAACAAGTAAATATGGGGTTCTTCCCTGGGCTCTCAAAGGCATTAAAGTCACCTCTGCCATCAGCAGTCTTCACATCTATCCAGATATTTTTAAGATTTCATCTGCTGGGGTACTCCACTAACAGAATCTCCCCAATTTTACCATTCACTTCTTACTCTCAGTTTTCATCTACTAACCAATTCTAAATCCATACACACACAGTCCCCCAATTAATCTTCAATTAAAAAACAACAACATATTTTCTTGGGTAAAGTATTGAAAGCCTTTATTAAAATCTAATTCCATATTGCGTGTTCTGTATGTGTCAATTACTGTTGCTGCACGATCAAAGAGCTGTAACAAGTCACTTAATCAGATCGTACCATTTCTAAAATAGTGTCAGCTATCCCCTAAGACCATATTTCTATTTAGGTGGACACCTAGTTTAATAATAATAAGTGTTTCTATTACCATTCATGCAATTGGAATAAATCAATTTATAATTACTTGCTTTAGTTCTGTAACTCTTTCCATGCACAGACACTCAATTAACAATTCTCTCGGTCACTATCCCTCTCTTGAATCACTGATTGAAGAGTTGCATTAACAACTAAGAAAGAACATCTCTGCGTTGTTGCTTAGAAATAACATCTCTTATTTGTTCTTTAGCTACAACTGGTAAGATTCCATTTAACCTTGCAGTGATCTGCATATTGCCCCATCCTTACAAAGCCCACTTTCTAAAAACTGTAAGAACTTTGATAAGCTGTTCAATGGTTTCTCTGTCCCCTTTAAAAACACTCTTCAATCAACTATGACAGATATACAGTATAAAGGCAATATTGAAAACATACAACAGAAAAAATCAAATTAATGACCTTTAGCAATAGATTTCTTTTTCCAATTCGAATATTTATTTTCTGTAATTCTTTTTAACAGGATTATACCCTGGGCAACCTGTATTTTCCATAAAAGAGTGTGAAACTTTTTTTTTGGCTGTGAATTAACAACAATTTGTAGTGAAAAATATGTTGATATTTGCAAATAAAACAGTGATTTACTATTATTTGTTTACTGGATGATGGATCTGAAGAAAATACAATTCACTACAATGAGCTTCCTTCATGTATTTCAACAACAAGAAATCAGGTTGCCTGAGCATATTCTTAAGCTTTTAACTTTGGGTAGAAGACCTCAGAAGGTCTTGCCACTGTTTTAGATAGAATTAGTTGTTTTTTTTCTCTGAGAACCAAGTAATAATAACATGCTTCAAAGCAAACCATGGATGATGAAATGCCATTGGGCCACAACATTTTCCATGAAAAACTACAGAAATGTTATACTTATTTGGAAGATAGAGAATTTATCATTGCAGTCTTAATTTTAAGTAAAAGGTCAAAACACTATTGAAGGTGTAAATCTCTAAAATCAATGGTGATGTCTGCTCATTTAAGTGCAGCAATGCTTGCAGAACATGATTGTTCTAACGTGGTTTTCCATATGTCTTTTAGGCGATTATGTGGTAATGACAGTGTACTTTGATTTGAGCAGAAGAATGGGATACTTCACAATTCAAACGTACATCCCCTGCATACTCACGGTTGTCTTGTCATGGGTCTCATTTTGGATTAAGAAAGACGCCACCCCAGCCAGAACAGCACTCGGTAAGATAACAAAACCATTTCCGCTCTGCTTGAAATCATGGAATGCAGCTTGAGATTGCATTGTGGTAATCTGAGTAATTTAATACTTCAGCAGAACAGGAGTGGATCAAAATCATTAGATTATACAAGTTGAATTTCAATATGTCAAGTTAAAGCTACACTCTATGCAATTCTATTATTTTTGTTAATTTATTTTTACTGGAAAAAAATAACCATTCCCCCCACAAAGTCTGTAAGAACATACTAATCATATTAAGCCCAAAATAGCAAAACAACATTATTATTTTATCACCTTAGCCCTGTTACAGCTAATGTTTTTATGGTTAATTGATGGCATTCTATGAACCCCTCACCTGAAATCTTCCTCAATTTCAGGTCACAAAACAACCCTTAGCACAAGAGAAGATTTTTCTTGTATTTTAACTTTGAACTGGACACAGGGTGTTTTTTTTCTTGCTTGTAATAAGAAAGGGTAGATTAGTCTTGAGATCACATTTTAGATTATAAGTTTACCATAAGGGTACAAAGGCGGTATCCCAGTTGGAACTTCCCCGCTTCAACTATAAAAAAACGCATTCAGCAATCGCAGATCCCCTGCCAATAAGGACTCGGAAAGTTATCACTTGTAATATCTCTTGAGAGATGCATTGTCTCCAATTCTAATGCATTTTATTATAAAAGCTGACTTAATCTTTATTCCCACTTACAGTAGCTGCTGTTCCCTTTGTCAGTCAGCAAGTCCGATGTGCCTCTGTGCCTATTAATGCTGTTAGGTTGTGTGACTTTTTACATTTTCATTTACTTTTCAAATTTCTTTCTCCTTTTTTCCTTTGTTACATGCTTTCCATTTGTTAATGTGCAGTTCTGTGGAACATTTTGGTTAAGGTAACTCTGTTAATTTAACAATCTCATTCAGTGAATTATTATTTTTTTATTCTTTCATGTTATATTTCCCTATACCTCATCATCATAATGTGCACATCAGTTGAAATGCTTTGGATCAAGTGACTACATGAAGTGTATAGCCATGTCTGTGTACTTTAAATATAACAATCATTGGTTTTAATTTTTACAGATTAGACATTCTCGAAAATACATTTGTATTAAACTTTTCTCCTAGAGTATGATTAATAGGCCTATGTAGTCAGTAGGTTTCAGCTTCACTCCTTGCTTTTATCAGGATAGATCAGTGTCATCTGTCTTCCATATGTACAGTCTATTGTAGAACTTACTGTAAATACAGTTAAGTATTTTTGGGGTAGCTATAAAGTTTGCATTTACATTTTAATAGTATTGTTTTGGGTGGAATGGTGGTGTAGTGGTTCACTTTAGTGCCTTCCAGCTCTTGGGCACTGGGTTCAGTTCTGGATCTGTGCTGCTGTCTGCATGGAGCTCATATGTTCAGTACATACTGTATGTTTGTGTGGGTTTCCTTCATGCACTAGACTACATTTTAAGGTACTTGTGATTTATATGTTATATTTTGTGCTTTTCCAGCCTGTGGTTTTAATTGATAGGAAACATGATACAGTACCTACTATTCTATGAACAATGTTTTATTTAAATACACTTTTTTCACTTCAAGATACAGTATACTTAGAATATTTCATAGTAATCTTTTTAAATAGACTTCAACTCAGACTCCAAATTTACAGGAGGATTTAGAGGTTCTAATAAAAATAGGAATTATACAAAGAAATGCATGAAAATATTGTTAAAAATGATATTTTTAAAACATTGTTATAAAATTATAGGTTTGAATATTTTCACTAATGTTTCTGTCTGTTTGACATTTCCTTAATGTTTTTAAATGTGATATAATGTAAAAAGAAAAAGCCATTTCAGAAAACAGTAATTGATGGAGTTAATTTAGTCCGAGATTCTTATTAAATCAATCTATGTAGGAAAACTGCACCCAGGATTGTATTGTTGTTTTTATTACATGAAGAACACATTAATCAAATGTCTGCTCAGAAACACCTATATCCATAATAATTTACCATTCATAAAAGATAAAGACATTCAGAGAACTACTCCAAAAATATTTATTAAATAAAAAACAATTATTCACTCCCTTTAAAATATCAGTACTGTATATGATTCAGTCACTATAAGTTAAATGCAATGTTGCTTTTTGTACTTTAAGACAGTAAAAGACAATTCATATTGAGGAAAAAAATAAATAATAGTAAAACCTGAGGAAGGATCCACAGCCAAAATGTTGTGTCTCTTTTCTTTTCAGCATGGAATAAACCTTTACATGTTATTGTTATACTAATTAGAAAAACCCCAAACAATTATTCTTATTTCAGTAAAATGCAAAATCGAATATTAATACCAATCTAAATGCTTAATACTGGTTTCATAGGAGTGAGGGCAATTCAGCTTTTTTAGTGGATACAAAATAATTATTCCATCGGGTTCTTTTGGTTTAGTTGTTCGATTCTAGTTTCACTGCAAAAACCATCTCAATAAGGGTAATGACCACTGCCATAAATGATAACAAATATAAAATTGCATGTTGGATGTATTACTTTGTTGTACATCTCTTGCCCCCATCTTTGAAAACGAAGTGATTCTACAGATCTTTGAAATCTAAGTATGTCAATAATTCACTCACAATCTAAAGAAAGGCATGATTTGTGTTGTGTTGCTTCTACAGTGCAAAATCCAATAAATGATAATCATTTAATACAGTTTGAACTTGAATATGAAAAAAGATTATACAATTCAACACAATCCTACTAAAAGAAAGAAGATTGCTTGATTAAAAGATGCACAGAGTCCTGAAATCATTACACCTTTAACACAAGTAGATATTCACTTTACACTGCACAGTAGGCACTGTAACTGATCAATAGGGTCAAAAAAGAACAAAGATAAGTGACTGGTTGACTAGATAATACCTTAAATGTCAGTGACTGCAGCAGAGCAGGCTGAAAACTAGGCATAGCACTGACATCCCTCTGACTGGGAGGTCTAGAGCTGTGACAGGATCATTGAGTTACTTCAGAGGAAATCACCATACTGAAGAAACCCCTGTTCATTTCCAAAAATAGCAACACAACCATGACACTGAGGGAAGGATCTTTACTGTTTTTTTTTAATATCTAAGATCATTAATGACATAATGAGGCATAGTAAAAACAGCAGAATACTCCTTTTAAAAAAGCTACCCAAAAGATTAATTAAAGCAGTATTTACTTTCTCTTATATGCATTAAATAAGTCCTAGGGTAATGAAGTCGGGATAGAGTCAAGAAATTTCCATTTGAGTTTAGCCTTCGCATAAGGGAAGAATATCCCTTTTCACTGAAAACAGTGCCACACGTTATTTGACGTTCATTAGGTTCAAATAATGTTTTGAATATTTTTAGCATACTTTTATTCTTCCAAAATTATTAAAATACCAAAAAATGATTAAAATAATCATTTTGCATAAATAATGCATAAAGCCCCTTAGTAGTGTTCCACTCCACATTTACTGTATACCTAAAGACCCCTGAAATAGAGTCATACACCTATACTGAAGTTCCTGTGCAACAAAGCTTTGACTTTGTCAGTAAGCAGGAGCTTTCCATGCCTGCGCCATCCCCACACTGGCACTAAGAATTAAAGTCATATAAAGCTCAGACCAAATAATAAAGAGCCAGGTCAGAATCCAGAGATTCTGGGAGAGGAACTTTGCCCGAGACACAATTTAAAATGTGTTGCTGAAAAGTTTGTGGTCTGGGCTGCCATCTCTCCTGTCACAAGCTGTATCTTCTGCAGATAGGCTGCTTTAGCCAGGAGACTCAAACTCTTATAGTGCCATTGTTCGAAGAGAAAGCAGGGAACAAGCCCAGTTTCTTGTACCCCCCTGCTGTCATACACAATTTAAAAAATGATCAATTTAAGAGGAAAGAAAAAAGCAAAAAAAAAAATGAAGAAAGGGAATTAGTGGCAGGAGCGTCAGTGTCGGGCTATCTTACAGCAGCATTAGTCAGGTCATCAATGATTCTTGTATCTTGTATCACCTGGAAGAGTTAATTTCTTACGCCTCTGCTCCAGCCTGTTATGTCTTACCATTACTTCTGATGTTTAGATTCAGGTATAAGAGAATACACTCACTAAAATGTCACCAGTGTCATGCGCCTACAATAATTATCGTTGTTTTCCCACACAAGTGCTAACCACATGAAACATTTCTTAGATTTAAAAATCTCCAAAGGGCTACAAACCACAATGGATAGAGGTAAATCTGAGGCCATTTAAACTCAAAAGCATGTATATCCCAGTGCAGGAAGAAAAACCCAAAATAATCCATTCGACTAAAACTGTTTTACGCCAGAAAATGCACCCCAAGGATATTCATATTTTGTGAAGGAATTATTAATAGGGCATTATACACATTTCATCATCTGAAACCAAATGTGATTTTCAGTTGTATGATTGACAATTGATGCATTTAATATCACCAATATTTGTGACCACCGGACATATTTCTGTGAGAATTTAAAAGGAAATCACCATTAGTTAGTAAACTCTCTCAACAGTTATTTTTTTCCTAAAAAAAAAAAGGGTTTTGGTTAACAGGTACTGTATATAACTAATCTTGAAGTAGTTCAGGTGGGCAGCTGCGTCAGCATTTGTAGGCTGCAAAGGAACAAGTAATAGGTTTATTCCATGCTGAAAAGAGAAGAAAGAAAACACAACGTTTCAGCCGTGGAGCCTTCTTCAGGGAACATTGTGTTTTCTCTCTTTGTTTCAGCATGGAATAAACCTATTACTTGTTCCTTTGCAGCCTATCCATGCTGACGCAGCTATCCACCCGAACTAGATGTATATACTGTATACTATAATGGTAAACAAGACGATTGTATCAAAATGCAGGTGATTTGTGATGTATTATATAATGTCAAGCATACAGCTTATACTGTATGCTAAATTGCTTAATTCCTGCTATGATTCTAATATTTTGCCAAACGTTGCTGTATTCAATCAATTTCTTATCACTTATATCACTTATTTTGAATCACTTATATCTTATCTATCTCTTTCAGGGACTGAATATTGCAAATTGTATATTTGTATAACACAAATGTGTGGTTGTATAGCCAAAATATTCTTTGTGCAGCATGGAACTATCTTGTATTAGGATGCTTAAAAAGCAGTAAAAATATCTTATTCTACACTTCATATAATGAAAGAAATCTAATCTTTTCATTTAATTAGTAGCCTTGAGCAATGAGAACTACAGTGGTAAAATGATATTAAATTTGATATGTTCACTGTATTAACCTATTTGTATATATCTATATTCTTATCTCCCAATGTTTCAAATGCACATAAAATGTTAATATAATTATTATTCCGTTGCTCCTTTTAATAATGTTGAGGTTATCCCAGTGGATCAAGTGAGCTGAGTGCAAGAGAAAAATTAGTTCAATTTGATCAGAGAAATTTGCAGAACTCTGCTCCCTGAGTAAAAGATTACTTACATAAACAAAGGCTTGATGTAGTACTTTCAATCTGTAAACGTGTCCTGAAATGTTCTTGATGACTTCTGCGTTCGTTATTGAACAGTATTATTAGTATTATTGAACTGTGTGAATGAACAGAATTGGATTGAATATCCTGTGCTGCTCTGCCTACTGTATCACTGCTGGGATTTGGGTCTGGTCACTCATAGGCTCCAAGCATGCACATTGCTACTCCCTAGACAATAGGTGACTTCGCCACGCTAAAAAACCTTTAACCAAAATGAGTAGAGTAGTTCCTTTAATGCAGTTCATATAACTTTTGTTTCTCCCACTTTAATAACAAATGTAATATAAATAGTTTTAATAATCATCACCAACTTGACAACTGAGGGAGTAAGATGTAAGAGAAGGAAGAACTACATTAGTAGCTATTGTCTCGATGCTTCTTTAGACTCCTCTGGACAACAGTGCTTTTATGAATGGCATTTAATTTTTAAAGCATCTCTCAATGTTCATAACATCATAATGTTTGGGCTGTGGAGGAAGGGTATTCTCTGTTGCATCATTTTCATTTCATTTCAGCAGTTTATCATTTTTATTGCTTATGAAATACCAAAGGATATTAATGTGTTCCCAATAAAAAAAGCATCAGGGAGAGGGGCAAAAAGCACTTCCTATGCTGCTATAAAGAAACAAATAACGGAATGTTCTTTTTGAGAACAGATGACAGAAAAAGTCATGCAAAAAATGTTCTACTGCGTATCAGGGATATAAGACACTAGCGGAAAACTGCAAAATTCTTAATGACCCAATATGGTCATCTTAAATAGATACTGTAGGTACCTGGTAAATATAAACATGAGTAATTGACATGATGAAGCAACAAGTGAAGAAAATCTCCTGTTTCTTTTGCAGGCATAACAACAGTGCTGACTATGACAACGTTGAGTACAATTGCAAGAAATTCCTTGCCTAGGGTTTCCTATGTGACTGCAATGGACCTCTTTGTGACAGTTTGCTTCTTGTTTGTGTTTGCTGCATTGATGGAATACGCAACCCTCAATTACTACTCCAGCGTGAGAAAGCCAAGCTGCACAAAGAAGAAAAAATCGGTGAGATGTTAGCTGGAAAATCAGAATATGTTGTAGGTTATGTGCACTAAACCAAGGGAAAAAGGAGATATACTGTATCACTTTAGTCTTTCTTCTTTCTTGCTAACTAGCTTAACAGTAATTAAAACAACAATATGAATAGTTGTTTGTTTTTGTTTCTTCTTTGCCAGCAAATGTTCATTTATGTTTTTTTCTGAATCAGTGATTAGAGTGGGAGATAAAGAAATCTATTTTTATAGTATTTATTTTTATATAGAGTATTTTACATATACTTTTTATTGTGCACCTGCTGATTACATTTACCTGTCCATGTCCATCTGTTTTAGTAAATTGTTCTGAAAATCAAACAGTGCAAGAAAAGATAACTGTTCAGGGGGTCTTACAGTGCTTTACAAAGGTATTCAGTCTTTTCCAATGATGTTTAATTATGTTGAATTGCAAATGTGACCTAAATTAGGTTAAACCTATTTTTTAATTCAACAAGTCAATCAATTCAGGTGCATAAAGTTAGTTTGACAAATTAGACAATTAATTAAATTGCCCTTTGCCTGTATACAATAACAGTAGATTACGTGGCTTCAGAATTAAGATTTTTTATTCTGTAAGGTCATCCAGTCAGGTAGTGAATTTCAAGTGAAGATTCAACTATAAAGACAAGCCTTCAAAAGGGATAGAGTTGTAGAAAATCAGAGGTCAGGAGAAGGAAATAAAAAAAAATCAAAGACACTGAATATCCCTAAGATTACTGAGAAATGTATTACTAAGAATGGGAAGGTATACAGTATCATACCCTCAAGGAACTGTCTAGCTCTGACTTCCTCAAAATCAAGAAGCCTGACAAGGAGTAAAACGATCAGTTATGCCCCCAAAAGACCAACATTGACTTTGAAAGAGTTAAAGAGTCCAGTGACTCTTTCAGGGAGAAAATGATTAGTCAATAATATTCTTGTCAATCCACTAACCTGGCCTATATGGTAACCTACCTCCGATCTCTAATGGAGTGTGCAAAATTGTTTTAGTGATAGTGTAAACATGTGACAAAAGGTTTTTTTGTCAGACTAGACAAAATTGGAACATCTTTGTCTAAATGTAAAATGTTACATCTGGCTCCAGCACAGCACATCACCCAGTCAGCACCATTCCTATTGATAAGAATAGTGGTGGCAGCATGATGGTTTTGGGATGTTTGTGATCAAGAGGAGCTGCCAAGCTTGTCAACAAATCTGGAGTGGCTTAACAAGAAGAAAGTGAATGTCCTTAGGGGACCCATTTAAAGTTAAAATGGTCCAATAGAGAATACTCAAGTGGCAAGACTTGAGCATTGCAGTCTGTCAATGATCCCCACCAAGTATACAGAGCTTGGTTGGCAAGTTAACACAAAAGAATGAGTGTGAAAAAAAAGTGTGAAAAGTTGGTAGGAGATTTATTTAAAAAAACTAACAACTGTAGTTGCTTCCACCAAGTATTAACTCAGTGGGATGAATACTTATGAAATCAACACTCAGCTTATTTCAGAAGTTCTTTCTTTCACAGTGTTCACTATGATTATTCAAGTTTTTATTAAAATATTCTCTTTAAAATATATGTACATCATTTGTAATCAAACAAAAGGGGGATCATGGAATAGGATGAATTCTTTTGCAAGACACTGTAAGTGACTCAGTTGATTGCACTGGCTCAGTGTTTGACCGCCAGGAAAAAGTCAGGATGTACTGTACTGTATGACTTGTTTTTCTTTTTTTTGTTTCAGTTGTTTACTTAGTTTGGTTTGAGTTCTGAAGAGATGAAGCTTAAATCACAAAAACACTAAAACCTGTGCATTGCACTTTAGTTGACCGTATAGTTAATGTAAAAACATATCCAATCGATTGGTAGGGAACAGGTATTTTGATCGTGGTGTGCGATTTGAAACCACCCTCTTTCTTCCATAGTCTCTACCTACATTCTTTGCTCTGTCCAAGGAGGTGTTTTGGCAGCACACACCGCCCCCTATGAATTGCCTAATCATTCATGCTAAGCTTCAAAGTATTGCTTACAGGCAGGTAATGGATTATTATTGTTATCTTGATTATCCAAGACAGAAAATGTTTTTCAAAATTCAGATGAGTTGTAAAGATGGAGCTTAACCAATTTCATCTTACAGGAACATCACTAGAATATGGACTTGTCTTTCTTCAGACATTGTCTTTTTTTAACCTGTTATTGTTCCACCAATGAAAGCATGCTTTTATTTCTACCTTCTATAGTGTATTTGTTACTACAGAATCTTTTATTTAATTGCTCAAAAGCAAGGCATATTTATCTATTTATGTATGGTATGATAATTTATGTGAGTGGAGGTAAATGCATGATGTGTGTTTAAAAAGCTACTCAAGTTTCAAAGTGGAGCAGCGATTCTTTGAATTAATGATTTAATAATGGTGATACGTATTATTAATAATGTTTGGTATGCTTTATTTTTTAACAACGCAATTAAATATAGGTGTGAAAATAGATTATTTGGGGAAATCAAGCCCTACAGACACTCTACAGTAAACGTGTGCCCCACATCTCTATGAAGATAAATTGTAAAAGTAACTGTAAATGCATTTATTTTATTTATTATTTTATTAATGTGCGTGCATTATTTTCCAAATCCTCCCCTGAAATTTATTTGTAAGTAATCTCCAAGTTAAATTAATATTAAAAGTCACAAGAGTGTTTCTTAGCACTCTTGACATTTCTTAAACAATTTTTTGGGGGGTAATTATGAGACTCCAGTTGCAGATTTCTTGATGTAGCTTTTGAATAAAATATGTTTTCCACCTCATAAAGATATTATATTTTTCCAAAATAAATACTAACTCTTTTTAAAAGAAAAGGAATCCTTGGGATTCCCTTACTGCATCCTAGTAAATTATGAAGACTATTTTCCTCTGGCGATGTTATACAATTGTTATCATCAATATTTAAGCAACACTACATTGCTGAATCTCAATATCCTACAGTATATAAGCAATACTATATATAAATTGTATCGACTCATTTTATTCCATTAGATGATTATCACTCTTGACATAATTGATAATGGTTTTGTTTTGCTCCAAAAGCAGTACTGCACATTATAAAAAAATGTGTTTGTAGGTATAAACTTTATAAAGGAGCCGTGCATTCAATTTTCTTTGAGCTTTCAGCTTTAAACATCAGTCTTGCTTTCCAGTGTATCCTTTGGCATTTACCACAAACAGGACATTCACAATGCAGTAGATGTATAATTCATGTTCTATTAGAGAGGTGGTGAAAGGTAAGTTTTTAAACAAGGGATGCAGGGAGAGACTGGAAGAATTCCTTGGCTTACTAAGTTTTTTTGATAAATTAATGTTGACATATACAGATACAGGTTTTAAGATACTGTATGTCTTGTCTTGAAATTTTAAAATAAATATTATTTTTTAATAGCGATCAATCAAGACATCATAGTGGTGTGGTAGTTAGCGCTGCTGCTTCCACAGCTCTTGGATCCTGGGTTTGATTCCAGACAAAAGTCTGTGTGGAGTATGCATTTTCTTCCTTCGTTCAATTGTTTTTTTTCAGTTCTGTTTTTCATCCACCTTCTAAAGACATGGTTTGGTGTCTCTAAACTGTCCTTGTGGATGTACTGGGACTGGCATCAAACTGTGCACCTGTTTTTTTTTTTCTGGGTGGGTTTTTCTGGTTATTACAATCCTAACCAGGAGTAAGCAGTATGATGGAAGGATGAAAGGATAAATGTTCAGATATGAAAAAAGCGATTAGATGATCAGATCTGCTCAGGGTGAGCCTGTCTAGGCGCTGCTGGGTGTGATTGGATTCTGCTTACTGCACAGACTAAATGCTCAATGTGGTAGTCGAACTTAAATTGTATCTCATCTCGTTCATATGTGCTGTGACATTATTTCAATATCAGCCCACTGATGAAGTTGTTTTGCCATATCTTCCAGAACTACTCTGTGCTCGACGTAGGACCCCCTCCGACAGTGATCACATTAAACAATTCCATGTACTGGCAGGAGTTTGAGGAGGCCTGCGTATATGAGTGCTTGGATGGCAAAGACTGTCAGAGTTTTTTCTGCTGCTATGAAGAATGTAAGTCAGGGGCATGGAGGAAAGGACGGGTTCACATTGACATCTTAGAATTAGACGCCTATTCTCGGGTCTTCTTTCCCACATCCTTTTTGTTGTTCAACCTCGTCTACTGGGTCGGCTACCTCTACCTTTAACTCCAGAAACTCTCCTGAAACGAAGAGGACTGTCTTACGGCTGTTTTTTTTTTTCTCCTGAGGGAAGTGATATCATGGAGAAGGGAAAAAAAAACGAAAAAAAAAACCTTTGTGGTAATGCCAACAATAGTTCAGTGGTTTTACAACAAATAATACTTTCCAAGAGTATTGGAGAGAAAACCATTGCCATAGCTAAATTATTGCAATTCCTTTTTCGAGCCTCTCCGTAAGGAAGACCTGGCTTCCCTTATCAGGAAGCTGGCTGAACCTCGCAGTGATTTATACTGGCAGCCTTGTCAGGAATTCTGCCTTGTACTTCAGGTACCAGAAAACAAATACACATAACTAGGTGGTCTTTAAATACCCTTGGAGTTCCTGTTGCACATGTTATATTGCCAAGGGGTTAGCCATTAAGGCTAGGAATATGCCTATCATAGCAGTTTTTACTGAACTCTTAAACTCCTATCAAGAAACATTCACTAGGTTTAAGCTGAAAAATATATCCTCGTTCAGCCATCAGTCAAAAAAAGGATGCAAGTTGTATGAGTGACATTAAGCAACATTTAGTGCCTTCTTTGGGAGGAGTAACTGTCATTTCATACAGAGGTGGACAAATCATATAGTGAAACCTGCAGCTTTTGACTGTTTGCTGAAATACCTTCTTACAAGTCCCTAAAGATTTTTAAAATAGCTCATGGCTATGATTTGTGTGCTCATCACATTGAATTACATCTCACTTTGACATTGTGTGGTAATAAGTTTAGTAAGACATCCCTAAGGGTGCACAAATGACGCAAAACAAAAAAAATGACATACTAAAAGCATGTAAATACAGTGCCCATATGCGGTTTAAATTGATTGGAAATGAGCAAAACTGTTTTTCGATACAATTTTCCAAAGAAATGAACAATAACAGCAACAAAGGAAAAAAGAAAGACACTGTATGTTAGCTGAAATACAATGAATTGTAATTATTTTTATATTAGTATGATGTACAAAAAAACTAAGCTTCTCCTATATTTATAATTGAATTTTCCAAGGAACTAAAAAGATATATTAAATATTTTCACATTATAACTCTCAGCTGAAAATGTTTCTGTTTTTAATTTGGCTTAGACAAAAAGAACTGCATGAGACAATAAGAAATAACTATAGTGAAACACAATATTCTCATTTCAAAGGCTGACGTAGGTTTTCAATGGAAACAGTATTATTTCCCATAGGTGTCTCTTGTTATATTTACATCTATATCTTCAAGACCCAAAGAGAAATTTCTAATACTGTATATACAGTATAAGACTGGACTGTAGTTCTGGCTACATTCAGGTAGATTGGAAGAGATGGGATGTCTTGACGGGTTCTGCTCTTAATTATCATTACCATAATTCATTAGTGGGGAAAGGAGGATATGGTAGCAAAGAAGCTGCAATCAAGATTCTAACTTTCAATTACAGCTCAACAATTAATTGAATGTGATTTACATGTAGTAGTAAACTAGTGTTTTATAACCACTTAGTCTTAAGGAACTTAGTTAAGAGATGGTATGAACACTCCCAGCAAACTGGATAGAGAGCTGCTGCCACTTAAGGTTGTTTTCAACATCGAACTGAGAGGTTTCCTGGATGCTGAACTCTACGATCAAGTTTTGGATTGCATGCCACCTGTTAATCCACGTCACCGTGGTCAATGTAATCCTACAGTTTAAAGGGTGCTATAGTGCTGCTTCTGCCATGTCTGTTCAAAATATCTAGTTTAGCAGCTATCCCGGGCAGTCGCTGCATGTGTAGACACACCGAGAAGGTAAAATCATCCCGTATCATCTGGAGCTGCTCCAGAACTCTAAGGCTTTCGTTAAATAGCCTCTGTACTAGGAACCGAGTACCTCAGAAGGTTCAGTTTGGGTCTGAGGTATACATCACCAAAGGCTTAGCCCAAACTGACAAAACAATTTGATGTGCCGTTGTGGCAGTCGATCCAAGTCTAGTTTCCTTTCGCAGAAGTGCCAACTTTTGTACGACTCGTTTTTACTGTTAGAAATAGTTGATCCTTCTCATACTGTCCTGTGAGTTCTGCGTTTCATTATCAAGTTTGTCTCCCTGCTGCTCGTTTACTAGTCCCCGTTCTTGTTTTTTGTGCAACACTTTATTACAACAACTTTAAATGCACACTTTATTACCACTGTGGTGAAATGCGATTTCTTTTTTGTAGGGAAAAACACAGTACATGTACAACTTAGATTTGTTCCTTAATGTGTTTGCAAAACTGAATACAAACTGCAGAGCATTAAGCTGAATAAGCAATTCATGTTTTGTTTTTCATGTTCTTTTCTTTGTTCCTTAAGTCTCTTATCAATGTTGATTTGATGCCTTCTTAGTGACAAGTTTCAATTGTTATTTTTGATGAGTTTAAAGGTAGTGTCGGGTGTTATTCATAGTGTCATCAATGGTTTTCTTCTATTTCATTGTAATTGTATTGAACTCATACAGTAGCATACCACTTGTAAACTTCAACAAGTTAATTCTTCTTATAGTATATTAAAATATTTTCTGGAGTGATTGGCTTTGTGGCTTCTCGAATTTCTACTGTATTATCCTTTTCTGCCTTTCTCTTGTATGCAGTTTAATCCTTCATGATGCTTTTTTATACAACATGTTCAAATATTTGTCTGGAATGAAACAGCTGTAAAAGGTGCTTAGCCAAAGGCCATGGCTTCAATGTATTCATAGCGCAAGCTGGCACCCTTCTGTGTGGAGTACGGGAGTTCACAGTTGCCAACAACTAGAAAATGAAATCATTGCATTTACAGTATAGCAGTGTTGCTGTATCTCTTAAATTCTACACAATCAGTCACCTTGACCAAGTGTTTCCCAAAATGTCAATGATAAGGACTAACCTGGAACAGAGAGAGGGACTCTTACTATGCTCCTTCATTTAAGAAAGTTTCCAATTCAAATAATATATTATTGCAACCATTAAAATAACTGCTGTTTAGCTCAAAGTAAAAGTTAAAGAAAATAAACACAATGTTTTAATTTAGTTGAAATAATTCCTCAACTTCCCTGCCAGAACAGTCTTTCTCATAGAAGAAACTAGTCCTTTTGACAATTGTTGAAGTCAGTTGGAAGGCAGGAAGTTAGTAGTTTTGTTACTGTTTAGGCTACAGAGCACAGAATCTAAGTGAATAGTCACATTTAATATAAAATACTGTGTTACTGTTTCCATTAAAATTAATGTTAATTTATGTTATGTTTTTATTTTTTAATATGAATAAAAGTTGTAACTATATACAGTTAACTTCAGAAACGTATAATTAAATGGATATCTCTAATAGAAGTACTGTTTGCTGTGATACAGCAAGCAACTCAATGTAAATGAGGGCTTAATTTTCTCATGAATGTTACCCAGGTTCCACACAGGTCATTTCTAAGTTATTTTAAGAGGATACTAGTAATAGTAATACCAGAATATGATCCAAAATTTAAATAGACCAGATGCAGGATACATTAGAACCTGTGTACCAGAATCAAGAATCTGTGTAACGGATTCAAGAAGATACTAACATCTACACGTGTAAAACTTTGGTGAGGTTCGTTCTGTGATAGATTTGTCGTAGCTCAAAGATTACATTGATTAACAGAGGAAAATAAATAAATAAATAAATAAATAAATGCCAAAGATGTGAAACTATAAAAAAGGATCTAAGATAAAACAAATTGTTAACAGAAGCAGTCTTTTGACAGAAAATATGATTAAAGCACTGTTTTTTTTCTTTGTTTTGTTTCAGTTGTTTTAGAGAACTAGTAGTTTGTTTCACAGATTATGCTAATTAGGAGATTGTGTAAACTGTATATGAGCTCTAATTATTTGAAAATGCTTAGAAAAATCTTAAGACTACATGGTTGAATTAGACGTGTTATTCAAATGGTATGGTGTTAATGGTAAACAAATTGTATCATAATTTCTTTCCTTTTTAACAAGCTCTTTCCTAAGCTCTTTCCTAAATACCAATAGATTATGGTTTTCTAAAGGAGGTACAGTAAATCCCTTTTCAAATTTATACTTTTAATATTAAAAACTAATTTAACTATTTTTGCTTACACACATGCATACAATACATATACAAATACAGGTATACCCTTTGCTTCAAATGTTATTATGGAGATTTTTCTCACAGAATGTTTTGGATTGTAACTGTAATTCTTCATCATATGGAGAACTGCCTATCTACAATGGTGGGTATAAAGTTTTTGGTTTACTATTGAACACCATGTTTATTTGTAAGTTTTTATTCTATACATATGTTTTTATCTAAAGCAGACCACTGATTTATTAACACTGTATAGGTTCTATTCCAGCGGCAAGCAGTGGTAAACTGTGCTTAAAAGGTTACATGTAGTTACATCTCCAGTTAAATGTCTGTGAGTTAGGCAACCCAAAAAGTATACAATTACCATGTCGAGACCAGACCAATCACAATAAGGCAACAATTATATTTATTCCAGAACTAAATAGCTAAACATTTCTTAAGAAGGACTGGAGTACAATCTAACATTCTAGAAGAAAAATGTCTCCAATCAATCTTTAGAAATAAAAACAAAAAGTAAGTGGGACTCAAAACAACATTCAGTTTCACATTCAGAAACCTTATGGGTGGTTATTTTAATGACGGCTAAAAATGATTAAATATTTTTAGGGAATGTCACCTACTTAAATTACTGTTAAGGTCCTTTGGGGCACGATGTCCATTAGCTGCTTTGTGGTAATTTCAATATTTTTCCATTTCAGTCAAATTCACTCATAGTTTTCCTTTGAATTGCCTAAATAGATTTAATTGGATTCTAGTCATAAAACTGTGGAGGCCAAGAGTGAAGAGTAACATTTTTCATAAAAAATATTCTGTGCCTAAATTGCAATGCTTTCATATAAATTATTTTCTTTCAAAATCTTCAGAGGGCACATAAGATTTATTCATTGAGTACTTGAAAACATTTTTGTTTTAGACCTGCACATGAAAACATTCTGCCAGTTTCTGCTAATGACATTCACTTTTCAGGGCATTACATTTCCACTACCAGATCTGACTGTGGGACACTGCAAAAATAATTAAACACCTGTCTAACTATTTTCCAAAAATAGAAATAGCTTATACATAGGCAGTATAAGGATTTAAGATATGAAAGGTCTTAAGAAGCATTTAAAACAGTAAAACTTTCACCTGGCGGGTTTTATATACCTCATAATTACTTTTTTTAAAGTGCCCTTTACTGTCCTCAGTAGTTCATGTTCTCTGTTCTTCTTTGCTTGATAATACTGTTTTTCTGTATGATTTGACAATCTTATTACTCTCTCATTATAATTTCTTTATACAGTTCACTAAAATGTTCACTTAAAATAATTTAGACAATCACTTATGGAAAGAAGTATTCAAAGCTTTTCATTTTTTTTAAAAAAAGCAACATTATAGACAATTACTTAAAAAACAGTTTGTAATTGTCTGTTCTTAATCAAGCATTAGAGGGTTTCCATCCAAAGCATTTTATTTATTCCATTCTGATATTTATGTTAGTAGCATGCACCTTAATTAGAAACAGAAGCATACACCAGCACTCAGTGTTGAAAGTTTGTTTTCAAGTTTCAACACTTCGTAAGCATGCTTAAAAGTTTTGTTCCATGCATAAAACCTGAATAGAGACTACAGTACATACTGTATGGACAATACCAACATTCAGAATCCTATTTGACTGTTGTCACAGGAGATATCACAGATAGATACGAGTCAACAGAAAAAATGCACAGCATGTGACAAAGCTTTGTCTGTAGCTTGTTTTACTGATATGGGTGGGGTTAACATCAAGACAATGTTGATATACTGTAGTATCATGAAGTCGCGATTAAGGTGTTATGATGACTACATAAGATCCCACTCAAATTATGGGTAGCACAAAGGTATAGTTTTACACGTTCAGTAGAATATCAAAAAAAGTAAAACTACAAATTTGTATCTCTATACATATTTCAAATTAATGTGTGAGTGCCTGTATTCACATACTACTGTAAATTTTATTAACAAAGTACAGTATATTACATTGCTAAAACACACAACACAACACCTTACCTTAAAGACGTCCAAAAATCACATTACTGGCACGGTTTTAAAAAATATCCATAAAAACATTTTAATTAAACACCCTTTTTATAACGTTTTCAGAACAGGACTTTGCTCACTTTCAAAACCTTCTCTAGTGTAAACTAGTGCAAATTTTTTAGGTACTGTACAAAGCACTTTTATCTAGATTCTTGCTTTATTAACCTCCACGGATTTGCCTCCGAAGTTGCCTCCACAGATTTATTGCAAGTATTTTAGTAGAATACTAAATCTTACCATCTAAAAGTTATATTGTAACATCACACATATATTGCATAATGTTTTACACTGAGCCCTCTCGTTATCCAGGTCCTTGTGTTATGTTACACAACAACAAACACTAATAGTTGCTGGTTTATATTGAGCGATTTGAAGACTCTGTGACTTTTTTTTCTTTTCTTTTCAGATTTGTAATACAAGTGTTCAGTTAACTGTTTTTATGAAAGATACTGTGTTGTCTTGCAAGTAGAGTTGTTTTTACAGTGTTGCATTTTAAATGAAAATTGTAAATGAGACTTAGAACTGTCAACAATCCATTTCTATTTTCCATGCTATTTTCATAATTCTTTTTTTAATATTGGTAAACAATGTACATTATATAAGTTAATTGAAAAATAAAATTTTGTCTTTTCTGTATCATTTACATTCTTACCCTTGCACTTTATATGTGTCTTAGCTAAATGTATTTACAATAAAATGAGCACTATTTTATGAGCAGGATCAAGTGGGAAGAGTTTTGTTTTTAGCAAGAAGAAACCCACCCACCTGAACAATGGGTTTGATGATTGTTTTTAATACCTGCTATTCTCACATGTTAATTTGGACACTGATTTTGCAATTTTTTTTGTTCATTTTAATACTTCTATTTTATAACTATGAAAATGTCTATGATTTCAACTACATTTTTTTTCCAGATTTTTACATAGAAATCGGCTCTTATTTTTCCTGTGATCTGTGTATGTGGTTAGCAATGTTCTGGTCACGCTACTGTAACTGAGCCATTTAGAGCTTATGTGTTTGAAGAACATCCTCTATATGAAATTAATTAGTTGGTTACATTCATAAAAAGTATTTCTAAATATTCCCAAAATATTTTTAAATTTGATAAAGGGACAAAGCGTCGCTCTTATGTTGTTTACAATCATTTTCTGTGTAATGAGAATCCACATTTTACCTCTCTATAAAAAATGATGAAGCTTTTTAGTTCAATGCCCAAGTGTACACAGTACTTCAATGCAGATTACATAATCTTTTTGTTAAATGAGATGTTTTATATGAAGGTAATGAATGAAGATGACCACCAAACCACATGATGTTCGCTTATAGTAATTGGATCACATACAGTACACATACTGAACCATTTAGAAATTACTCTTGAACTCATAAGGTTTTATTCTATTTTTTTATCATGAGAAATTTTGTATCACTAATGCTGTCAATACTACATTAAAATAATTAAATCAGGCTATTAAAACACAAGCAGATTCTCCTAATATAGACAGTTTCTGAATTGTACATTCATTATTTTTGACACTGCTATGGACACAGTCATAATTAAGCAGTTTCTATTACACACACAAAGCAGTAAACAAAACTAAAAAAATGTCTAGCAAGTAACTGGACAAAAAATACATCACACAATAAAATGTTTCTGTTCTCTACTTTCTATGCAGTGGGTAGTCCACATCATCATCAAATCAATGATATATCCTCATGCTGAAGATGTTAAATCTTAGAAAACGCCATAAAGGCAAAAGATATAAGATATAAGAAAATATGAAAACATCCAAATGATGCTGAGTTCATCAGATCATTTAGGAATAAATCCTACTTTTGATTGGTATTGAAAAAAAAAACTAAAATGCTTTTTTAAAACAAAATTTTCAGGTGCTCAATATTTGCCATTGTTGGAAAAGCGTTCCCAGCCTTCCAATGGTCTTGAGCACTAAAAGTGCTTTAACCTAGCGCTGTACAAAGAGAACCGTGCCCAGGATTGCCTTAAACGTGGAGACTGGATG